GGGTGGAGTGAGCGCCAAAAAAACGTGATTTTTTAGTCAACATTTTCGAAAAAGTGACTAAAAACGCTTTTTTGGCCTGTTTTTTCAAAAGTTTACCTGTGGTGCAGAAAATATTGTCAAAATAGTGTCTTTACAGTGATTTGGGAGAGCTCAAAAAATCAATTAGGTCGACTTAAAAAAAATGGATGATAAATTTTTCAAAATTTTTTGGAAAATCTACCCACCTGATCTTAGATCCGCCCCTGATCCAGACCATCAACCTGATAGGCAATTTTTAGAGAGAGTGAAGCAAACAAAGTAGAGCCAAGGCACCCATTTAGACAAAAAACTAGACGACGTTTAAATCTTGAAAAGCTATATTGAAAAAGTATTGATGCAGTTTACCATTGCATTGATGAAATATTGTATTGATGAAAATTATCATTACTTATATCTCGTCTGCTTCTTAGTTCTTAAGAAGAGAGCAAAAGAAAAATAATGTGGTGCAATTTTTCCCCTGATTTTCCTAACAAAAAATTCACCTTGATAATGAGTCATTTTTTTTATTAATAAAGAATTATGCTGAAATCACAATATAAATTGATGAGAAAACTATATCAGAAGAAGTCTCTTACACAGCCCAACAAAGATTTAGGATTAAAAATTTTCCAAAAATCTCTAGAAGAGAATATATTTTTGGTTGATAGCCAAAAAAGGTCATTTTACAAAAAAAAATAAAAATCTTTGGCTGAATACAAATTTCAAACGTTTTACGCATATTTTTAGAAATTTCTTTTTCCTATAATTTTGTTGGGCTGTGTAAAAGGCTTCTTTTGATATATTTTTCTCATCAATTAATTTGGTAGCTCAAGCGTGCTTCTTGTTTAATTAGAAACGGCCAAAATGACCAATTTATTCTTGGTGCAATTCTAACCAACTTCCGCTCTTTTCTTTTTTAGTTGATTCTTAATCGAATTGGAGAAAACGCGTTAGTTTAAATTTTGCTTTTGTTCGTTTTGTCCGGATATTTTAAATCAGCATTGTATGCAATATGAATGCAACTGATATAAGCCACTTAAATTGTCCAGCTAAATTATTTATTTGAATATCAAAACTTCTTTTCGAATTTAAAAACAGAAACAAAAACTGCCTATTAAGTTCACGCTAAATTCTAAACTCGAATTGAACCAAAAAATAGAAAAAGTGGATCAATTATCAAAATTAGCAACACTGGCAAAAAGATACAAACTAATTGTCGACCTTTGAAAACATACAACATGTCGACCTTTAACCTGTCGAACTGATCTTTCATTAAGCACGCTAAGCTGAGTTTTTATGAGAAAAAGGTTGAATTCTCATTTAAAAACTTTTTCATGCGTAGAAAGTTTTTTAGAGAATTTTTTTTAGAGTTTCTGAGTTTAGAGTTTACAGACAGACTGAAAAGCTTGGTGAAAACTTGCGAAAAGTGAAACCAGTGTTATAGGCGGATGATACGATATTATGTTTTTAAAGTAAAAGCAGAACCATCTAAAATGAAAAAATTAAAAGCTAGAAAAATGGATTGATTGCAAGAGTTTAGCATTCATTTTAACAAACGGTGAAAAGCGCCGACTTGATAAATGATTTTGGTTGGTTTTTTTTATTTGAGCTATTAGAATTGCATTAGACATTTAGGACACAAAACTGACAACCAAGTTTGAAGTAACATATTAATGAAGCTGTTACAAAAAATTCTTTTTACTGAACAGTTTTTAATCATGAGAAATTCTCGTTAACAAAATCTTCGCATGTTTTATAAATCAAATGCTCAATTTATCTTACAATAGGGCACTCAATTTTTCTTAAACTTTCATATCACACGCAAAATGAAAATTGAAGCCTCGAAGACGTACTTTACGAGCTTTTTTCTTTAAACAAAATCATAAAAATGTAACAAATACATGAGTGGCCAGAAACACTACACTGTTTTTAATTTGTATCAGCGTGCGCTTTTCAAGATAGATAAATTCCTCCAATTTTTTTTATCGTTGATATATAAGAAATTAAGCTTTATATAGATTCAATTTTTCAAGTATCATTCAAATATTTTTCAAGTTCTCGAGGTGACCCACTCGATGCGATTTCGGTCACCCTCTGTTTTAACGTAGCTGATAAATTGAAGATTCAAAATGCATAAGGAAAACATGAAGAAACTCGCAAACAAATAAAATAAGACTGCTCGAATCAGGGCAAAGCCTGATCAGGGCGAAGCGAAGCCCTGATGGTTCCAACTGCTTTTTAATGTCTGTGGAGCAGTGAAAATTATCCCCCCACACGCCATATAAAGTACAAAAGAAAAGATTTTGCTCCTTGTAAAAAATCAATTCAGGTAAATAAGCTTCCTTCAACCAACTTGCAACGATTTCTAAGACGGATTAATCTCCGCTTACGCATTAATAGCGCGAAGTATTTCGCGCGTTAATTGTCCCAAATTGGCCAAAATGGCAATCTTTAAAACTCATTACTTTACGAAAATTAATCACAGATAAAATTTCTTTTCAAAATTAAGCTCAAGACAACAATACTTTTTGAATGATATTTAAAAAAACTCCGTCAAAAATGGCTACTTAAAACGTCGAAATTTGTCTGAAGAAAAAACCCACCTCGAGCACAAACTTTCCGTTACTTTCGTTACGAAAGTTGGAACAATAAGTATAACCTTTACATTCAAGCTTAAAATGGGGCAGCCTATGGAAAAGTTTCGTGGACCGAATTTCGGTTTGTTTGATTCAATTTCTTTGAGATGGCAATTCTTTTTCTAGGAATGTGGGGAAGCAAATTAATGATGCCTCAAATCAGAAGGAATTGGAACCAATCTTGGGAGCACTTTTTCAAGGAAAGTATTAGTTATCATGGGCGCAATGCAGATCAATACTTTCTCGGATATCATATTTGGAAATGGGCCGAGCAATATTCATTGCCACACGACAGTTATTCTTGTAAATACTTCCCAAACTCAACTGGTTTTCCCACAAAACGATTAAAAACGGGCAGTAATTTTGTCGGCGCAGTTGTCCCCACACCCGAGCTGTTGGTCGAGTGTCCAAGAGAATGTCTCCGTGACGGCCATGAAGATGAGTGGATTCACTGCTAAAAAAAATGTCAGCCATTTAGTCAAAAATCTGCAACCCATTTGCGTTACACCAAAAGAAACGGCTCTTTTCCAGTTTCCCCCCTTTAAATTCAATTTTGAAAAGTCAATTTAATTTTGTCATAATGCAATGAAATTTGGCGTGGTGAACAAATCGACAACTGTGAACAGATTTGTTCTTCATGCTTTACAGCGTAACATCACAAATTTAGCCGTAATAACACGTAAAAGAAACATAAAACTCGGTATTTTGAAAGGTGGGGGGGGGGGGACTGGAAAAGAGCTAAAGAAACAATCTTAGAAATTACTATGAGCCATTTTAAACCTTTAAAGATTCCACATTAAGAAAACTGAAGTCAATTTAAATTCCAAATTGTATTCAAATGTGTATACAAAATCCGATCATTTTAAAGCCAATAAATCTTGAGAGATTTTTTTTACCACACTCTTCAACTATTCCATCACCAAATGGTACCTGGTAAGCCACCGCGCCTCTTAAGTTCTAATGTTTGGAGTGAACAGGCGGAAAAATCTCACGGTTTGTGCTCAAATTTTCATTGATTTTATTAAATTAAAAAAAAAAGATTTCTATAGTTGGTCAAAACCTCAAATGTTCCGAGTATCCTTTAATGCACTAGTTATTTTCTGGTGTGAAACATGGCCGACAGAAAACTGTAAAAGAGACAATTAACAGTAAAAAAAACAAAAGATAGACTTTTTCGAAGCATTTTCGAAGAAAAAGTTACATGGATCTTTGAAATTGCAAGTCTGTTACATTTTAAACTTTTTGCATAAATTTAAACCATAAAAGAAAACAACGTCAATCTCGAAAATTAAAACTCACTTTCAAAACTCATTGCGTCATTTTCACTTTAGAAATAAGAGAGCAAAATTTCAGACTTTATACTGAAAAAAAAATCAACACGAACCCTATAAGTGTCTTGACTAAGTTCATTGACACTAGCAAATGACAGCAAAATCATGTTTTTTTTTCTTTCAACAACTGCCCCACATTCAATTGTTGCTGTCGTACAGACAATGCAGTATACCCGTTTTTCTTCCCTCATTAAAAAGTTGTTTAAAATCCAAATTTATCTGAAAAAAACCTCGCTAGTAAAAATTATTTCATGTTTTCAAGTTGTTTTAACTTTTGAATATGTTTCGACTGGCTTTTTAAAAATCTGAAGTAGTCTTCAGCAAAAAAGCTCAAAACTCATAAATAAAATTTGAAATTTCTCATTTTTGTGCAAATCTGTCTCCCACATGCACATGTAAAATTTCCCATCTAGTAAGTTGCAAGTAGTATTTTGCAAGTTGCTCGAAGCACTTTAAATGCCTCAATTACGGTATGCGTAACATGAAACAGGTAATTAATAGCGTTTTAACAACCCGAAAATGGCAAATCAAAAGCCTATAGTTAACTATCACAGGTGAGCTATTTTACATTTTATTCCACAATGAAACCCACCTTTGAAAATAAAAAACATTCAGGTCATTTGCAATTTAGTTTTCGAAGAGCGTTACCTGCCTTACCTTGAGAAAATAGTTTTGAAGTGAACCAGAAAAAAACCATACATTTTAGTGTGAGAAAAAACTTTTACAAAGCATTTTATTGAAAAAATACAATCTAGATGACAGTAAAAGCATATAATTTTTTAAATATTTTTAATCGTTTTATTCCACAATGAAACCCACCTTTCGCACTAAAAAATTCTCAGGTCATTTGAAATTTAGTTGTTGGCGAGCGTTACCTGCCTTACCTTGAGGAAATGGTTTTGAAGTAAACTTGGAAAAAAACATTAATTTTAGTGTGAACAAACTTTTACAATGAGATTTTTTTTATTAATGAAAAGATCATTTTTATCATTGAACTTAAGCACCAATTTATTTTAATATTAAAAAGAATCGGCAAAAAATATATTTTGTAACTAGTTACTCTTTTAACGAACAAGGACTTTTACTATTTTGCTTGAAAAATGGCAAATATAATCCAAATGCTTCTAGGATTGAGGAAGGAAATTAGGACATTAATTAACAGTGAAACAAAATCTAGAATATAAAGCAAGGAGCAACACATTGCCTAGTATTCGTAATTTTCAAGCGTTCAAATTTGAATATCAAAGTTTCTTTAGTACAGTTTGAACATCATATCTTCTCGTGTATTTTTCTGTCCCGTATAAATTGAAGTCACCATTTTAATAGCCAAGAAGCAGGTATAATTAAAGGTTCGGGGACGTCTTTCTTTTCCTTCTCAGCAAGTCTTCCAGAATTTCCACCTCTTTCTCTTTAATCGCAATTCGCTCTCTCATCGCCTGAAATAATTTCCAAAACATGAAAGATGAAAAGATTTCAAGTTCTTATTTCTTCCCCGATTTTGCTTTCAAGATGTTTCCCAATAGGCACGTATTGTATTTTCTTTGCTGTAAGCAATGTGATTTAACAGAATCAACAGACAGAGGTACTGAACTAGATCAACAGAAGGAAAATATACTTTTTTGAAATTGGGTTTTAACCTACGAGATTCCATGAATCTATATCTTTACAAAGTTGGTTAGGTTGAAGAGAAATTTATGATCATATTTTTTATTGATAAAAATACCTTATTTTTGACAAAAATGGATGGAAATTTGTGCAAATTCCGGTGGCTCTACTAAGAACTACATCAATTTCAGAAACTTGCATCTAGAAAAACGCAAAATATAGTCATCATACATTTGGAAAAATGTTGATGAACGCAAGGAAAAGAAAAAAAACTGACGTGTTTTAAATTTCGAGTTTCAAAGCAACAAATATTTGCTCTTAGAACTCTTCGAATTAATGATTGTCACTTTTTGATGTAATTAACCCATATCAAAAAAATTGTAAGAAAAGGTAATTTACACTTTTGCTGTTCGAGAGTGAAACTTTCCTTCCTTTTAACAGAGGAAATGAACTGAAGTTGGAAAGAAATCAAATGTCAAACCGAGCTTCAACTGTGCATTATATATATTTAGCACACTGTCTAATTAAAACCAATTGACTTTCATCTGAAGTAATAATTCGTTCATACCGATGTGAATAATCTCTGAAGTCATGATCTTTAATCTCTTGATACTAAAAATGGGAAACTAATTCATTCAATTAAATCTTTCGCTGCTATTTCAATTTATGGACCCTAAGAGGTTATGGGCGATTTCGTGAAGAATTGAGACTCTACGCCTGACAGCATCAGAGAGTAAAATTCTACGGTGGTTTGTATGAATAGGATTTCAAGAGAAAGAAAAGAATTGGTTGTATGAATTACAACTTTGAAAATAGAAGTTTTGAAAGAAAAGAGAAGTTTTGAAAGAGAAGTTTTACAATTCGAAATTTGAAGTGACATTTAACCATGGCACGAAGTATTCAAACAAGATTGGAAAAATTGACTTTTTCGGGAAATGAAAATGATTGGGAGTATTTTGCTGAGCAATTTGAAGCTCGTATAGTTCTTTTGAATTTAAAGAAAACGTTGAAGGGAACAGATGTTCCAGGAAGTAGTGAAAATGAGACTAATGTTAATGATAGAAAAGAACAATTGTGGTGTGAATTAATACAATGCCTTGATCGAAAGTCTGTAATGCTAATAAAACGCGATAAACCAGATGGTTCAGCGGCATGGAATCGGCTGCAAAGCTACTTTAAAAGTACGGAACGACCACGTGTTCAAAGAATGTTAAATGAAATTTCTAATTTGAAATTAGAGGCGAGCGAATCGATTAAGGACTACATACTTAGATCGGAAAATTTGCAAATGAATCTACAAGAAGCGGGAGAGGGTATTTCTGAAAAAACGATGATTGCAATGCTTTTAAAAGGACTACCAAAAGAATTTGATAATTTTACAACTGTGGTGAATTTTTCGAAAGATGCAAAAAGCTTGGACGAGATTAAAAGAGATTTGTCAAATTTTGCCGAAACAAGCAAGACTTTTTTGCAGAAAAATTCAACAAATGAAACGTTTTTTAGTAATAAAACTATTAAATGCTACAGTTGCGGAAAGCAAGGTCATAGAAAACAGGATTGCAAGAAAGACATAAAATGCTACAATTGCAATCAAATGGGACATTTTGCTAGAGATTGTAGGAAAAATACCCAAAATAACCATTCAAATAGCAGCCATCAAAAACAGTTTACATCAAAAAATCAACAAAACAAAAGCCATTTTACTTCAGAAAATGAAAACACTGTCGACTTTTTCAGTTTTCATTCTAATGACAATGATTTTGGCGTAAATTCCGACAAATTTTGCTTGATTGATAGCGGTTGCTCTGCGCATATGTTTAAAACACGCGAATTTTTTACGGAACTTGATACGAATATTAATGGAAATGTTGGCTGTGCAAATGGAAGTAATTCAAAAATTGTGGGAAAGGGAAAAGTAACGTTTAAAGTTCAAACAAGTGATGGTCGATTGATAACTATAGAACTGAAAGATACTCTGTTTGTACCTACGTATACGGCAAATTTAGTTTCTGTATCTAAACTTAACAGAAATAAAGCTGATGTAATGTTTGATGATGTTTGTCCCAGAATAATTTTACCAGATAGTTCTGAAATTTTGCTTCAAAATCAACGAGATCTTTTCAAAATGAAAATTGAACTGGCAAATGAACACTCTGTGGAAAATGTTGCAATGGTTGTTTCGGACATAGAAATTTGGCATAAACGGCTTGGTCATAATAATTTTGATGACATCAAGAAATTAGAAAATCTAACGGAGGGAGTTAAATTTAGCCAAAAGAAACATAATAACTGTGTTGATTGTCAAACTGAAAAAGCTAAGCGGAAAGCGATACCAAAAGTTTGGGGGACTAGAGCTACAGAAAAACTAGAAATTGTTCATACGGATATTTTGGGACCAATTGATACGATATCTGTAGACAATTTTAAGTACGCAATAGGTTTTATTGATTCCTACACAAGATTTTCTGCGGTTTACTTATTGAAAAATAAAAGTGATAGCACTCAGATGCTCAAACAGTTCATAGCGGATTATGGTAAACCAAAAACAATAGCTAGTGATAATCCAAAAGAGTTCAAATTTGGAAAGTTTAAACAGTTTTGTCTTGATAATGCCATAAGAACTGAATTTTCTGCGCCTTATACACCAGAGGAAAATGGTAAAATAGAGCGAACTTGGGGTAGTGTAATGGCAATAACTAGATGTCTTTTACAAACTGCCAGCATGGAAAAGAAATTTTGGTCTTTTGCAATGAAAACAGCTTTCTACTTGAAAAACCGAGTTTATCATTCTGCAATTGGGGTAACCCCATACGAAAAATTTTTCCAAAGCAAACCTGATTTGAAACACGTAAAAATTTTTGGTTGTGCTGCATATATGTTTGTCGAAAAAGTAAACATGAAAAAACTTGAATCAAGGGCCGTGAAAGGATTTCTGCTTGGATATAGTCTGAACAGTAAATGTTATATAGTAGGAACTGAGCTTGATGGAAACTTTGAATTTTTGGAGAGTAGAAATGTTACTTTTGATGAAAAAGTTTTTCCTTTCAAAAATGACGATGAAAATGATTCTGGACGGGAATTGGAAATAAGCGTTGAAAACTATTGAGATTTCTGAGAAAAATTCTGCGGATAATGTCAATGGCGGAAACCTTGAAAATGATCAATTACGCCGCAGCGAACGGATCAAACAATTAAATGCGCCTGAGATTTCATTTTTTAGAAATGAGACAATTTTTGATGAGTGTTGCCTAGCTGATGCAACTTTTTATGTTGATAATTTGCCAAAAAATGCTAACGATGCACTTTCTAACCCCAATTGGAAAAAAGCAATGCAGGATGAATATAATTCTCTGATCAACAATAATGTCTGGGAATTAGTTCCACAAACGGATCAAACTATTTTGGGGGGAAGGTGGCATTTTACTTTGAAATACAATAATGAGGGGGGAATTTCAAGATACAAGGCAAGATATGTGGCTAAAGGCTACAATCAAATCAAAGGCGTTGATTTCAAGGAAACCTTTTGTCCTACAGTAAAAATGGCAACATTACGACTTATTTTAGCAATTTCAACAGCTAAGGGTTTTGATGTAAGACAATGGGACGTAAAAACAGCCTATCTAAACGCTAATTTGGAAGAGAATGTCTTCCTGCAACAACCTGAAGGTTTTGAGCAGAAAGACAGTGGGGGTAATCAACTTGTTTGTAAGCTAAATAAATCTATTTATGGATTAAAGCAGTCAGGAAGAAATTGGTACTATACCTTACAGATGTTCCTTAAGTCAATAGATTTTACAGCGTCAAAAAGTGATCCCTGTCTTTTCATGAGAATTTCAAAAGATGTTTTGGAATACGTATGCATTTGGGTGGATGATATAATTTACGCTTGCAATGATGCTAACAAGTTTATATCATTTGAACAACAAATATCTAGTCAATTCAAAATCAGCGAAACAGCAAAACTTTATTGGTTTTTGGGGATGAAATTCAACTTTTGTGGGGATGGGTTAGAAATTTCTCAGGAAGCGTATATTGACAAGCTACTGTCAAAATTTGGTTTGATTGAGTGTAAACCAGTGTCTACACCTGCAGCTGATGGTTTAAAACTTTGTAAACGGCTACCAAATGAGGTGAAATTAGCAAACGACAAAGATTATAGAGGACTTATCGGCAGTCTAAGTTACTTGTCAATTACTACAAGGCCTGATATTTCATTCATCGCTCATTGCTTGAGTAGATATGTGAACGACCCTACTGAAGTACACTGGATTGCTGCAAAACGAGTTCTACGATATTTGAAAGGAACTAGATCGTATAAACTTATCTACAGACGATGTACTGCTACGCCAATCTTGTATGGCTATTCTGATTCTGATTGGGGAGGTGACAGTGACACTAGACGCAGTACTAGTGGATATTGCTTTTTCCTGTTTGAAAACAGCGGTGCAATATCGTGGGCTAGCAAACTCCAAACTACTGTTGCAAAATCTACAGCTGAATCAGAGGCTACAGCTCTTTCGTTAGCCTGTAATGAAGGATTATTCCTGTTGAATTTACTGATCGAAATCAAACTCGATTTAATTGATTTCAAAATGTTTGTGGACAACCAAGCATGTATTTTTCTTGTGAAAAACGACGTTAACAAGGGAGTCGTAAAACATTTTGCTATTCATCTACATTTCATCAGGGACTTAATTCAAAAGAAACAGTTGGATTTGAACTATATTGGGACTGACAATATGGTGGCTGATATTCTCACTAAGAATTTGGGCAAGACAAAGTGCAAACGTTTTGGGCTTCAGATGTTCGCCAATTGAGTGGGGGTTTCAACTGTGCATTATATATATTTAGCACACTGTCTAATTAAAACCAATTGACTTTCATCTGAAGTAATAATTCGTTCATACCGATGTGAATAATCTCTGAAGTCATGATCTTTAATCTCTTGATACTAAAAATGGGAAACTAATTCATTCAATTAAATCTTTCGCTGCTATTTCAATTTATGGACCCTAAGAAAGTTGGAAAGAAATCAAATGTCAAACCGCAAAAAATTCAATTTTCATTTACCACTAGTTATATTCTTATTCCACAAGGGAATCTATAAATTAAAATCTGCTCGATAGTGGAGTTTGCCTTCCTATTAACAAAAAAAACGAAATGAACTTCAAAAAAATTAAAAGTCAAACCGAGAAAAATCAAATTTAAGCCTGAACAAATTTTAAGACTATCTCCTAGAAAAATAAAAAACTAAATCATCACGACCTATAGAAGTGTCTTCACCATGTTCAATGACACTTATATTCACACTCAAATTTGTTCATTGATACTTATTATAATACGCTCATCGAAAATATGCGATCTTAAAGCTCTTCGAATTTCAAGAATAATTTATGATTAACACATTCTTTATATAATTTACCCAATTTCAGAAAACTGCACAATTCGCTAATATTTTTTATTCCGCTAGAAAATCTATTACTTACAAAAAAAAACATTTGTAGAAGCCGATCACATTTTTTGTGACCTTAACACTTTTTCTGTTCGATAGTGGAGTTTGCCTTCCTTTTAACAAAGGAAATGAAGTGAACTTTAAAACTCCTCGCGACCTATATAAGTGTCTTCACTAGTGCCATTGACATTTGAAAAAGAAAAATCAATTTAGGTTGCTTTTACCATTTCCTTCAACTGTAAATTTATAAAACTAGTTTTTCTGTTCAAATTGTCCGTTTGTTACAAAAATTGTCAAGCGGACTTATTAGATCATGACAAACATATTTGGATTTCATATTTATCCTTGCATAACCACTGGTTACACGAAAAAAATGATGCTTATGTTAGGTGGGTGAAAAGAAAAAGAGCCTCGTTTACTAACGCCGCACGTAACTTGAGTTGATTTGGAAATAAAATAAGGGTTTGATCAAATTTCCCAAAAGCGAAGAGAATCTCCGCATCACTTCCTATACAGAAAGATCAAGATCTCAAAATTCTTTAAGTTTCGTGGCAAATAGTTACACAGAGGCAAAGCTTCGCTTCGCAAACACTTGCGGGAACACGACTAAAAAGCATCTCTAAAAAGTGCAAAAAGGAAAAGTAGAAATAAGCCTTACATTAGTAGAAAAAAAATCGGCTACGTCTCGGATTTGATCTCTGACCGATCGCAACCTAGAGATTATGAGTCTCACCCACTTAACACTGAGCCACAGACGCTTAATTAATGACAAACACTAGACACAGATAAAGCAGAGAACGGATGCTAAGAAAACTCCAATGCTGCACATCGTAACCTACGAGATTCCATGAATCTATATCTTTACAAAGTTGGTTAGGTTGAAGAGAAATTTATGATCATATTTTTTATTGATAAAAATACCTTATTTTTGACAAAAATGGATGGAAATTTGTGCAAATTCCGGTGGCTCTACTAAGAACTACATCAATTTCAGAAACTTGCATCTAGAAAAACGCGAAATATAGCCATCATACATTTGGAAAAATGTTGATGAACGCAAGGAAAAGAAAAAAAACTGACGTGTTTTAAATTTCGAGTTTCAAAGCAACAAATATTTGCTCTTAGAACTCTTCGAATTAATGATTGTCACTTTTTGATGTAATTAACCCATATCAAAAAATTTGTAAGAAAAGGTAATTTACACTTTTGCTGTTCGAGAGTGAAACTTTCCTTCCTTTTAACAGAGGAAATGAACTGAAGTTGGAAAGAAATCAAACGTCAAACCGCAAAAAATTCAATTTTCATTTACCACTAGTTATATTCTTATTCCACTAGGGAATCTATAAATTAAAATCTGCTCGATAGTGGAGTTTGCCTTCCTATTAACAAAAAAAACGAAATGAACTTCAAAAAAATCAAAAGTCAAACCGAGAAAAATCAAATTTGAGCCTGAACAAATTTTAAGACTCTCTCCTAGAAAAATAAAAAACTAAATCATCACGACCTATAGAAGTCTCTTCACCATGTTCAATGACACTTATATTCACACTCAAATTTGTTCATTGATACTTATTATAATACGCTCATCGAAAATATGCGATCTTAAAGCTCTTCGAATTTCAAGAATAATTTATGATTAACACATTCTTTATATAATTTACCCAATTTCAGAAAACTGCACAATTCGCTAAAATTTTTTATTCCGCTAGAAAATCTATTACTTACAAAAAAAAAACATTTGTAGAAGCCGATCACATTTTTTGTGACCTTAACACTTTTTCTGTTCGATAGTGGAGTTTGCCTTCCTTTTAACAAAGGAAATGAAGTGAACTTTAAAAATCCTCGCGACCTATATAAGTGTCTTCACTAGTGCCATTGACATTTGAAAAAGAAAAATCAATTTAGGTTGCTTTTACCATTTCCTTCAACTGTAAATTTATAAAACTAGTTTTTCTGTTCAAATTGTCCGTTTGTTACAAAAATTGTCAAGCGGACTTATTAGATCATGACTAACATATTTGGATTTCATATTTATCCTTGCATAACCACTGGTTACACGAAAAAAAATGATGCTTATGTTAGGTGGGTGAAAAGAAAAAGAGCCTCGTTTACTAACGCCGCACGTAACTTGAGTTGATTTGGAAATAAAATAAGGGTTTGATCAAATTTCCCAAAAGCGAAGAGAATCTCCGCATCACTTCCTATACAGAAAGATCAAGATCTCAAAATTCTTTAAACTTTCGTGGCAAATAGTTACACAGAGGCAAAGCTTCGCTTCGCAAACACTTGCGGGAACACGACTAAAAAGCATCTCTAAAAAGTGCAAAAAAGGAAAAGTAGAAATAAGCCTTACATTAGTAGAAAAAAAATCGGCTACGTCCCGGATTTGATCTCTGACCGATCGCAACCTAGAGATTATGAGTCTCACCCACTTAACACTGAGCCACAGACGCTTAATTAATGACAAACACTAGACACAGATAAAGCAGAGAACGGATGCTAAGAAAACTCCAATGCTGCACATCGTGATTATAGCAGAAGTGGCACCAAATAATGAACACTTCGCCACAAAATAATGAACACTTTAATTTGCGACTTAGGTTAGACAAGAAAAAAAGTTTCGTACTAATACACTAGCTCCTCGCTAGTGTAAAGAGCAGTGATACAAATGATTGCCAAAAAATAATGTTAAGATATCGATCAGAACCGCGCCGATATAAGCCGGGAAAATAAAACCTAGAGATCCGTGAGAAACTCGCAAAATCGCTTCAGAAAATTCAACTGAAAAAAAATTTACAAAGAAACAACTGCTAGCGTTATATTGAAATTATCACAATGCAAAATTCAGTCAAAAAAGAATTTGAATTTGAGTATGTGACACGGAGGCGAAGCTGTGTACATTAAGTAAAAATACACCTCGAAGTAGTAAAATTTCGGTGACGTTTCGGACTCGAACCTAAGACGTACTGCGACCTAAAAAATTATGAGTCTCACGCACTAACCACTCGGCTACGGACTCTTAATCAATCACAACCAATGGCCACAAATGAAGCCGAGAACAGATTATATGAACAAACGCTACAGATCGTGATAATGGCAAAAAGGCACACAATAGAACACTTTTAATGAACACTTTTATTTGCGAGGTAGGTTAGAAAACAAGATGGTTCGTAATAAAACACTAGCTGCTCGCTAGCGTAAAGCATGGGTCAATACAAAAGTTTTCATGTATCCACCATGTATGCAAGCGCGAATATTTAATCCATCAAATGACCTACCACAAAACTTACAAAATTCAAAATTTTCAGATAAACCGGAACAAAACACCATATTATTGATAAAAATTTTGCTAACAAAAAATTTATGTAAAGCCGATCTCAATTGAACTTTCTAGATTTACACGCCGAATCGGGCTCAACCAAAAACTCTGATCGATGGTATAATTTCTTAATGATAAAGACCATGCACTTTTTTGAGCCCGTTTAAAAATTCTCATAGAAAAGAGCAGAGATTAAAAATATTTATCAGGCGGGCAATGGGTTAGGTTAACACCATAGTCTCACAATTCAACAAAACGCAGTTTTCAAGTTGAACTTTTCGACATGCTTTTTTTTGATAAAGATAAAAATATTGCCAGAAAAGCATGCTCACATTTTCTCTCGTTTTCAGCTCGTTTAACTTATCTCCAATTGCAGTTACTTCTGATTTCTTTTTACATCTATACTTCATGGCTGCTTTTCTATTCTGATTCTTCTTTTTGATCGGGTTTCGCACTTTGAGCAAGTAGTTGGGCAGAGACTTAACATCCGAATCCAAAAACTCGAGAGACTGCGGCAAATCTGGTATTTCTCGGGTGGTTGATTCGGCTTCCGAGAGCTCACATGAATCCGTGAACATCGATGATGAATTTTCTGAGGCCATGCTATTCTGAGAGACATTTTCCATAATATTATCTATACTGGAACACTTTTCAACATTTTCGATGCACATGTGAACTTCGCTTTCGTTATTTTGCGGGATTCGTACGAGGCTTGCATTTGCTTCTTCTAGCAAAGCTACATTAGTGCAAGCGGGAAGGATGTTGCGTAATTCAGCTGACGTAACATACGGAGCAGTTTCCTTGGTTTTGAACAAGGTACGGCATTCACGATTGAAGCTGGTCTAAAGCAATTAAAATTGAAAATGGTATTTGTCCAAAGGCGGTTTGCTAGATTTATTGCTGCCATTTGATTTAAAACAGCGAAACTTTGGCGAGGAAAAAGAACAAACTGACCAGCCTTCGACCGGTTTAAAACCCTCTCTTTCATTAGACTTCAACCTCACTTTCTAATTCTTTCTTTAGTTGATGCCCTATGAATCTTCATTCAAAATACTTACATCATTTGACATCACCTCTTTGACGGATGATTGAAAGTAGCATTTTTGATCAACATGATTGTGATTGGTCGATGAAACAGGGAGTGGAACAGTCTGCAAATTGATGAGTTTCCGGTCCAGCTGGAATGTCGCTGCAGTTGTTGAGATGTGCTGCAAAATTTATGAGAACATATCTTCATTTTCACAAATTTATATTTCTAAAAACATAGCCAAAAGACAGGTGGAAAAGTGTTAAATAAACTCAGAGAAGCCGAAAAAATATTGATTGATTTTTTTGAGTACTTTTCAATTTTCGAAAAAAAATAAATCACGTTAAAGGTTCAAGAGATTTGAAGATCTTTTAACATTTGCAGTTTTTTAAAATTAAAATTAGCACAATTAGAGAACACTGGCTCAATAGGTAATTTTTTATTCCGCTGGGAAATCTATAAATTATAATCAGTTGTCGAAACTTAAAACCACGCACCATTTTCGCACGCACGATTTGAGCTGTTATAATTGGAGAACATAATTTGCCTTCATTTCAGCAAATGAAGTTGAGGTGAACTTGAAAATTAAAAAAATAACCAAAAAAAAAATAAATTTTAGTGTGAACAAATTTTAAGATTTTTCCTGGAAAAAAAAACAGATGATTTAGAACCACAAGATTTCACTGTGACATTTATTGCAGGTTCGAATCTCAGAGGTAGACGAATTTTTGCTAATTCGAGGATGATTTCTAATTTGTATTATTGCACTTTATAGAGCTGCTTTTTGTCATCTTCTGGCTAGTGTTCTCGGGAGAAAAATACCGGCAGAAAAATACAAATGCAAGGCTAACGGAACAAAATTAACTTTGAATAGCGCAAAAACAAAAACAGTTCTTTGGGTAAGAAACCAAGTATATATAAAGAGCGGTTGCAACAACAGGGACAATTGATAGATAAACTTCCTAACTTAAAAACTTAGGCGTTAATCTGGATTCGAATCTTAATTTCCATAGCAACATAAAAAAACAATAAATCACATGCATCATTTCTGTGTTTATCAAATAAGCGAAAATTTAACCTCAAATTAAATGATAAGAGCGCGCAAAGCTTACACTCAACTAGTTCCGCAATAAGGAATACTTGCGCACGTTAACAGTGGAATCCCATCAAACAATCACACACCTTGAAATGAAAACTAAACGTATCGTCAAACTAATCGTTTGCATGTGAAATTTTGTAATTGCTGGCCAAAATTCTCAGAACCGAGACGTAAATAGACAACTTTTTGGCCCAAGAGATAAATTGACTTAGAAAAAGCGAGATGTAGAAAAAAACAAATTACCATAAAAAACTGTCACAATAGAAAACCACTGTATATTTGAGTCAGAAAAATGTTTAACAAGGTTATCTTTTTCTTCCCAAATTGGATAAATTTTAAACGAACAGCCACGACGGAACAAGTTAAACATTTCAATCAAAAATTCCTGTAAAATTATGCATTGGACATATCAAATCAACAATGGATAATGAACTTACAAATGAAAAATGAATTGGTCTTTCTTTTTTTGAATTCTAGATCTCGATCTTTATCTATACTATAGAAGCATAAAGATAAGAAATTGCAATTGCACACAGCATCTTTTGTCTGATTTGAGGCACCCAAAAAAAAGTTCTTGCATCTTAATGGCGACCTCACAAGCTATGTTTGTAAACGAATAAATAATAACTCTGTTATGATAATGGTAGCCCTAGATAGAAAATAAATTATCAATTTCCAAAACGTTTCAATTTGGTCCAATTATCTGCAAAACTTGCTATTCATCTAATTTTTGAGTCTGATGAAGAAGTTTAGAAAACTATTTACCGCAGAAACACAATGAATAAAAAAATAGTGATGAACTATATTGACCCCCAAGCAATCGTAATTGAGACTTCAAACAAAAATTCAGACAAAAATTAGCGGTGCCAAAAAACAACGATTTGAAACGAAGAGTCGAATGTTACGATTGCTCAAAAAACATATTTGTGTTGGATTATTAAGGCTTTAATACATAGGAAAAGCTGAGCTCTACGCCATTTGCGATACGTCAAAAAAAGAAATGCAGCTGGCCGAAAAAAAAAATAAGACAAAAGCCGATAACTTTTTTTTTAAAGAATAAATTTCGATTTTTTTCATGTCTCGAAGGTGGTTGATTTTGAAGAAATATACTGAAAAACACAATTGACAGTGTGAAATAAGTATTGAAAAACAACAATCATCAAATGGTAGTTGGGCAGACAACACTTGGGTAGACGACCAATGACCCGAAAAAGATAGCTGAAGAAAGTTTTGAGCTAGAAAAAATCTTAAACTCCCAATTTCAGTCCAAACACAGCTCCCAGAAAAATCGAAACAGAAAAAATAATGCAAAAAAAATTATTATTGATGAAAAACTTAGTCATCTATAAAATTTATCAGCTTTAATCATTCATTAGGAAAAATTCAATAAATTGCACTGAAATATATATATTCGCACAAAAAAGACAGTAAAAACGAATATATTGACCTGCAGCTGTAACATAAAGGCGAAGCACCACTTCACATGCAAAGCAATGCAGCGAAAACACTAGCCAGAAGATGACAAAAAGCAGCTCTATAAAGTGCAATAATACAAATTAGAAATAATCCTCGAATTAGCAAAATTTCGTCTACCTCTGAGATTCGAACATGCAACCTAGAGTATCACACACTAACCACTAAGCCAGGGAAGATTTATAAGTAGCAAACACTAGCCACAAATAAAGCAGAGAACAGATACTATGCAATTTTCACTGCTACAGTGAAATTTCGAAATAAGTGAACTTTTTTAATGAACAATTTTATTTGCGAGTTAGGTTTAAAAAAAGAAGGTTCGTAATAACACACTAAGCTGATCGCAAGTGTAACTAACTATCGAATGAGATTAAATTTCACCCTATTCTGTAAAATACATGCATCTATAAATCTTATCACTTTTATTTCTCATTTTATTCTGGAGACCATGGCAAAGGTGACCATTTTTCCGTTGTTCAGCCGCGAAAGGCTAATTTAGTCGCCTCCACTTCTATTGGTTTTCGAGAGTGAAACTTACCAACTCTTTCATGGCAGGATCACTTTCAGACAGGGGGATATCAGGCAGTCTGATTTCATCAGTAGTACACACATTCTCCAGGTGCAGGTCCAAATTACGCTCAACACCTGTTCTCAACAAAAAAGTCATATTAAGTCCAAAATACGACTTTTTTCCATACTTCCTATTGACCACTAAGTTGCAACGCAAAAGAGCTATTAAAAAGCTCATAATATTGTCTTTTTTCGAAGAATTTTTTGTAAATACAGATTTTCTTGACATAATTTGTGACAGCATACCTATTAGTTTTTTTTAATTAGATTTTCATTAGTAAAAAGGAGAAAATTATAAAAGATTGTCAATTGCTGTTCTGTTCACTTTGCATGCGTCAGCTTTATATATCTATCAACAAAGTTTTTGAAAAACGTGGGTAAGATTCAGACCAATTAATCAAAAATATAGCCAACAGACTGGTGGAAAAAGTCAAAGAACTCACGGAGACCCAAAAATTGATGGAATCATAGCTAAACAATTTTCTAATTTCGAAGAAAATATATACCACGTTGGAAACTTTTTCACTTTCAAAAATCTTTTGAGGGCACATGTTGCAGAACAAAAGACACATTTTGCAAAAAAGGGTACATTTTGCAAAGAAAAAATACTTTTATGAGGGCACATTTCGCTGGGAAATCTACAAAAAAATCCACTTTCAGAACTGAAGGTCATTCACGTTTCTTTGCACCATTTCCTAATTGGAGAGCGCACTTTTCCTTCCTGTTAGCAATTGAAATAGAACTGAACTTACAAGGCAATTAAAACCAAACGCCAACAAGGATAACCGGTTTCAGTGCAAGTAACAGAATGTTCCAACCATTCATATAAAAAAGTTTTCATTTTTTTCTTTTTTTTTAAATATCGGTCCTTTTAATTGCGTGTTACAACGATAGAACTAATTAAACTCGTATATAGTTAGTCAATAAGACAAAATTGAAAAAAGAAACTTCGGAAATAAAATAAACAAACGTGATAAAAAATCAAAAGTTTTTATCAACTTTTTATCCTTTTTTTTGCAGTATAACTTCAATTTTTTAAATAAAACAATTGCCAAGGAAGCGCTAAATTGAACAGCCAAATTGAACTAGTTCGCCTGAAGAATAACTTAAATTTTCCAAAAATCATAAGAACCAATCGCTCGCTTTACTCGCTCGTAATTAGACTAAAACTCAAAAATTTCATACGCTTTTTTGAATTTTTTTTAAAGTCGTTCAAATCACGACTGAAAGGGCTTTATTATGAGATATCACTCAACCCATTCCGATGATTTTCTCTGGTAACTGATTTTGGTTGAAAAACAAAATAAGCATGCTCGCTCACTTTATTCCATCGAAGTTATATGAAAATCAAATTTTTCAAACCAATTTTTCTCGACACTGAGAAACGTTGCTGATAACTTTTTCATGTCGTTCGCAAAACGACTGAAAGGGCTCTACATTGATATATTATTTAACCCATTCCGATGTTTTTGTGTGAAAAACAAATAAGGAAAAACATAAAACACCTTCGAAGTTAAAATTCAAATTAGCTCAACATTATGCAGCATTTTTAACACAACTGTATTATTTTATATCGCTTACGGTTTTAAAAGACAGTTTTAATCGTTTTGAAACAAGTTTACTCAAAAGATTTATTTAAATATACTGCGATCAATTCTTACCGTTTTGGAACGGTTTTATGTCATATTTAAGCTCAGTTTTCGGCTATTTTGATAATTTATTTCATCTGTCTGACTACAAGAAAAAAGCCAACAAACAGATGGAAAAGAGTCAATGAAAGGAAGGGAACAGAAAAAAATAATGACTTGTTTTTTTTTGAGAACCCCAACTTTCGAAACTCAAACAAAAATATAGAAGGCTATTTGAATTTCTAGGACAATTTATTGAAACTTTTTGAACATAGCCAATTGAAAAATGGAAAAGAGTAATGAACGCAAATAAACATAAAAAACACTGACTTCCTAGATTAAAAAATTAAAAATAGACGCCCTTTCAGCTCTTTGAATTTCTAGAACGATTTATGATTGGCGCTTTTTTATAACATTAGTCCAACTTCAGAAAACTGGATCAACATTAAAGTTTTTATTCTAATGGAAATCTAAAAAATTATATTCCACTTTCGAAACTAGAAAACATTCACATTTTTAGCGCAATTTCTACGTTCGTATTTGGAGAGTGCTATTTACGTGACTTTCAGCAGATGAATTTCAATTGAACTCAAAAGTGCATAAAAGTTATAAAAGACTTGTATGCACTTTGAGACTTTTTCCTGAAAAAAAAAACAAAAAAATCAGCACGACCTAAATAAGAGTCCACACTACGTTAATTACTCTTAATAAAGTTAACCAAATTTGAGAAAACTCAATCAATAGGTAAACTCTTTTTGCTGAGAAATCTTTAAAGATAGCCAAGGACAGTTGGAAAAGATTCAATGAGCTCAAAGAAACTGAAAAAAAATGACTTGTTTTTTAAAATGAACTTACTGTCCAAAAAACTGTCCAATGAGCTTATTTTTACTATGAATGCCGAAAATGCCTAGTCTCTAGTGTTTGGTTCAGATCCTTTTATCACACCACTCAGAAAAAAATACAAAACGTACCCAGTAACCGGCTATTCTTGTTTTCTTCTTGTCTTCTCATTGTGTCTCCTTGTTTTTTTTAATCATTGTGTATTGGAAAAAAATAAACTTTTACAAAGCAGACTATTACTCTTTGCGAAACTTCATCTGAGAATTCTGAAGAAGGTTTCAGATACATTTATAGCTGTTACATAGCAGTAAGAAGATAACCTAATCAAAGTTGAGCAAACAATATTTCCATCTGGTTATTTTATTGCAACATTTGCTAAACAAAAACTGTTATTTTTACAGCACAATTTCAAGCACCTTTGTTTTCAAAACTTTATCAAATATTTTATTTAAATTGGTTGGAAAAAAAACCAATTTAGAGTGCTTATTTCAAAATTACGCTTCGTATCGCTTTTCAGCCAATCAGATTCCTGTATTGTTCAATTCATATGCTTATTCCGACTATAATCATTGTTCTGGAAGAGTAGAAAGAAGATCAGTTTGTTTACGCTTTTTTCAATTCAATTTGGATTACACTGCAGAAAATTCGTATAACTCAAACGTGGTATCATAGTAAAGCCATATTTGTCGTGAACTTGATCATAAAAAACTTGAAAAAATTGTCTCAGTCTGATCTTTTTTGTTTTTCAGACTAAATTAGGCACAAAATTAGACAAAAATTAGAGGCTGATTTTTTGCAAAATTTTGTACCGATTTTTTTGCGGTTTCTAAAATGCTTTATAATTATAAACTTTTTCTTCAATCAGGTCGTAATATTCTGTGCTACTTGCAAAGCAGACGGCTATTATTGTTAATTTGTATGAAATTGAGATTGCAAAATTACCAGTGCCTCAGCCAGACTTCGGAAAGTTATGTTTTTGTTTTTCAGGCTTCACTCATTCGCCACTAATTGAACGTGTGTAAAGGAACTAGCAGAAGTATTAAACAGCCGAAAATGAGTAGAATATAACAAAGAGCCGAAAATGAGTAAAATATAACAAAGAGCCGAAAATTACTTCTGTCTTGAAAAACACTAATTTTTCGTTGCTTTTACGTAATTATTAGATAACAATTATGTAACTACTTTTTATTTTCGGCTTTTTTTTTACTGTATTGTTTTTATATCACCAAGTTACCATATAAAAAAAGTCCATTTTTTTTTGACACGCAGTTATGTTCCTGATACAATTCGACGTCGAACTAAAAGCAACGGAGGTCGGTCAAAAATTAGACATTTCATAAAGTACACAATTCGTGAGCCAATCAAAATTGAGATATATTGACAAATACTTTCTTTCCTCGCTCTGATTGGCTTATGACGGGTCTACTTGATGATCTGTCTACTTTTTACCACAAGCAGCAACTTACCGGGAGTCAAACTTTTCTCAACATCATCGAACAAACTGCTTCGCTCGCTCAGACCAGAAGGACTCGTCAATTCAGAGACAGAATTTGAGACATGATGGTTGCTACTGTTGTTGTTGCTGTTGATAGCATCAGTCTGCGCAGTTGATATATTGCTGTTATTTACATTATTATTAGAATCTGTTCCGATCGCGTGGCTTGGGACATTTAGACCACTACTAGGGGAGATTTGCTGTAGAAAATTATTACTGTTTCTATTATAAACATAGTTTTCCATGGATTCAGTGCATATATTTGGTACTCCAAGCATTGGCTGTGCCTTAAAATTGAATTGATCTTCAATGCGTGGAGATCCCAACATAACTTCAAGGTCGAAATCAGCACATGGGTTGACAAGATTGTCATCATTTTGGTATGCATTTGTTACTATTGGGTCAGGATTTTCGTACGATGACTCATTTAGGTATAGATTTGGAATAATTGGCTCGGATGGGACTAATACTGCAGAGGTATCTGAGGTATTTGAAAGGAAGTCTGAGAAACTCGTGGTTGATTGCAAAATGGGTAGAGTCGTTACCTCTGTTAGAAAGTGAATATTACCTAAAAAATTAAACATTTTGTTTTTGACTATTCACAACAATAGAAAGAGCTTAAAACAGAAAAAAAACAATTTGAAAAATAAAAAATCCTTAGCACTTCAACAAGCAGAGAATTTTTTGATTTATTCAAATTCTCTCTCCTCGCCATTTTTTAAACCCTTTTATTAGTTCGGCAAATTGCGAAATTTTTGACAACAGTGATACAGTAGACACAGAGGCGATGCGGAGCTTCGCACCCCCTACGATGCAACACAAAAACAACACGGCAGCTAACCGAAAAAAAAAACGACGAAAGCCACTAAATCGGAAAAAAAAGTGAAGATATAGGTCAGGCTGAAACACAATAGAATTATATACTCGCCTTCCAAACATTGAAACATGAGAATAAACCAATCTAACTTAAGCCGAAACCGCTAAAAATAAACCTTTAAGCAAAAAAAATTGAAATTTTACAAATTGGGATTGGTAAAGTTATAACCAACATTAAAAAAAAAAACAAATTTCGAATACAACGGTGATCATTTCTCTACAGGTCAAAGAGGTAATCACTCTTGGAAATGATTCAAGTCCTTTTGTTAAACTAATTGTTAACCCGAAAAAAGTCTACATAACGCTTACTAATTGCAAGCGTAAAGACCGTTCGAGGGCTGAATTCGCAGGGAGAAAGTGGTGAAAAACTTATTAAACTCATTTTGTTTTAAACAACTCATCTAAATCCTCGTTTAAAGAATACCCACCATCAACTAATTCTGAGCATTGCACCAATACTCCGTTTGTCAGAGTGTCTACTTCCGCCGTATTGTGAATTGGAGTGAAAATTAGAGTGTTGTTACTGATCGCAGGTGATGTTACAATCGTGCGTTGCGAGACGCGTTCCACCAGGTGGGGGTTCGTCACGCGAGGCGCCGGCGGGTAGACCATGATGTACTCGGTAGGCACTTGGTCCATTTTTCAGACACAATTGTTCAAATTTGTTGTGAAGCTCTTTATTCGCGGTAAAATTGTTTAGGTGGTAATTGCTGACGCAAAATCTGGCAGATTTGAAGCCATTTAGGCTGGAGCAGGTCATTTTCACACAATTCCTGGAAACAATATTAAAACATCATCAGCATTACGTAACTTCCTTTGAAAACAACAGAGGCAAAAGGCAGAGGAGACTAAAACTGAAGGAGACTAAAAACATGCCTTGGAGCAGGGGCGGTTCTAGCGTTTTTCTCTAGGGGCTGGGGGGTTCTCAGGGGAAATTGATTTTCTGAGCTGTCCCAAATCATGATAAAGCCCCTTTTTTCTATGCAGGAGGTGAATTAAAAAAAACAGAGTTGGAAAAGAGTCAATGAACGCAAGTAATCAGAAAAAAAATACTGACTCATTTTTCGAAAAAAAAAATCTCAATTTTCGCACTTCCGAGAAAAAAATGGCCTTAACGCTCTTTGAATTTCTAGATTAATTTATGATTGACTTTTTTATCTAATTAAACCAATAGGTAAAATTATTATATTGCTAGGAAATCAGATAACTAAATTCCATTTTCGAAACTAGACGTCAATCACATTTTTTGTGACCTTCACACGATCGATCAATAGTGAAGTTTGTCTTGATTTTAACAAAGGAAATAAACTGAATTTGAAAAGAAATCGAAAGTCAAACCGCGAACTACGTTCATCTAAATAGGCATTTTTGGACACTTTTTAGTAGATTCAAGTTGGTTTGCTCTTTTGACAACTCAAATGCAATTTTGAAATTTCGGTTGGAAATTTAACTTTTTTTCACTGTCTTAAGGTCATAAAATTAATACTTCGTCCCATTAATTTGTTAAAAGCTATAACCTTTTGCCTATCCTCGCTGAATTTTAATTGTTACTTCATTTTATATTTCATTAGTTGCAATAAGTGAGTGTCACATTTTCTGTGAAATTCGTGTTATTTATGCAAGAGAAATCTACTTAACAATCCCCCCTTTTGAATTTTTCAAAAAGTGAACTTTGACGACCATTTTAAAATAATTATTATTTTTCTGGCTTGAAAAAACATTGAAAACCTGACTAAATGTAACTAAAGGTATAGCAAATACCATTACGATGAGAAAAGATAAGAAAAATGTTTAATTAGTAAAAAATTTGAAAAGATAAAATTAAAAAAAAAAACATTCTGAAAAGGCAAAGGTCGGGAGAGATTATTAAGTAGGTCAAATTCCAATAGGGGGATTGTTAAGTAGATCTAATTCTTCTTCTAACATGTTTTTTAAATCAAGTTGTAAAGAAAAGAATCTAACATCGCCTATATAAAAGTATTCACTTCGTTCATCGACAGCGTGTCTTAAATCTACCATTAATTTCAAATGAGTTGCTCATAACTTTCAGTATTTTTCATAACTTCATGAGCGCAAAAAAGTTAAGTGCAAGAAAATGAAACTTACATTTTGAAGTTGAGAGAGCCAAGCAAGCGCTTAGCGGGGGATTAGAGACGATCAATTAACATTTTTCCCATTTTATCTGAAACAAGTCGGTTAGGGTTTATCAACGCGCAGCATTTTCATCCGTTTCAAGTTATCACAATTCGTAAATACTTTAGTCTTTAAAGTCTATCAGCTAAAAAACGTTATTCTTAAAATGAGCCTATGCAGTTCCGAGGACTCCATCGAAAACTAACTAACGTTTAAGTTAACCTACCAAGCGACTACTTCAAAAACATTTTGCTGAACAAATCATCGATATTCATTGAACACTTAATGACGACACTAATAAAGCTTTTAAAAAAAATTATCGATTCTGTTGCAACATGCAATCAAAAATTCATCACATAGCCATGGTTGTACTTCAAGTTAATGTGAAATATTGTTTAAAAACTACTAATTAGTACCGGTCATAATGAAGCTCAAGCTGCTTCTGAAAAAAGACTTCGTATATCTTTATCACGGAAAAAAGGCTCTCGAATATACTTCATTAACTGTAGCATCAGCTTACTCATAAACAAGGCATCATACTGCAAGCAAGACAACTTAAGGTTTCGGTTTTTTTTATCAAAGGCGAGACAACTATTTCGAATGTATTATAAAACGGAAACTATTTCCAGCTTTGCAAAAATTCCTTTTTATAAAAAACTTGACAGAACTTTGGCATTAGAAAAACTTACTCATTCACACAACTGAGGTTTTGAGGTGCATCCTTACCAAAAAAATATATAGCAAAACATATCACAAATTGAAGGTATCGGAAACCTCAAACTTAATGTTTGAATTCGCAATTCTAAACAGTGGTGTCTTAAATTGCAATCATCTTGAAATAAACGACAAATGAGATGCCAACCAAATAAATATTTTTATCGAAAATGGAAAAGCTGATCTTGTGAATCTTGTCCCGGGCTAGTTCTCTAAAGGCAATTTGAGATTAAAAACATCTTAGAGACAAGAGAACTAAGTAAGAGATGGGGCGCAGTAACGGAGTGTGGTGGACAGTAAATCTTTTTAGAAACCTAGAATATCTTATAAAAGATCAGAGCGTGAACTTGAGATTCTTATAATTGTGTGTATAATTCAATACCAAACATGCATCTCTTCATGATACCCGAAAACCGATATCAATACAGAAAAACTACTCAACTGAATGACAAGACTCAACGAGTAACAACAATGCGCTTTTCAATCGAAATTGTTAAGATTCAATTTAAAAAATGAACATTGTTTAGAGATTAAAAATCACTAAACAAGTTGCTGTCTAAGTTATCAAGGTTTTGACTTCGTGAGAACACGACCGAGCTCATAAGAAGGTTTTGAACTCGGAAGAGATATAGTCGATGTCCAGGTGTAGCCGTGTTCGGAATCAGTTGTCCTATTGGCATTGATGAAATCGCCGTCAATTGGAGCGGGTTTCTGCTGAGCCAGTCTCTAAAAGTAACATGAATTCTCTAGCGAGTCTGGTGATTCTTCCATAAATAGCCTCCACTTCAAACGATCTGACTATTACTATTCCATCTGATTCGGTTCCGTCCCAGAGAGCTAAGGCCTCGAGGCGCGATGCGTTCAAGAACCCAGACTGGGTCTCCTGTTTTGAGGTTATCAGCGGGCTTTGTGCATTCTGGTCGGTGACAGAGTGTCGGCAGGTACTCTCGTGTTAGTCGTTTCCAGAGTTGCCGGGTGCGGGTTTGAGCCTGTTTCCATGACGTCGAGTTCGTAGCATGACGTGCCTGAAACTGTGAAGGTGACAGGTTCACAGCTGGTCGTCCACGCATGAAATTTTTTGTTGTGATAGACTCCGAATCCGTTGGGTCAGATGACACGTTTATAAGGGACGAGAGTTCAAGACTGCTTCTACTTCGCACGCGAATGTATTCAAAGTTTCTTCTGCGTGATCCAATTAACTTGAAGGTTTCCTTGAAGATCTCTACCACCTTTTCACCAAATCCTCCGAAGTGATGTGCGGCGGGTGGGTTGATTTTCCATTTGAATTCAAGAAGTTCGTTCTGATGATTGCTGGAGAAGTTGCGAGTTCACAGTTGGCTCCAACTGACCATTTTCCGTTTTCCGATTGTATATGATTGAGTTTTACATGTTGGTAGATGCAACGTTGAAAAGCTAGAAGAGACCAGTCGGGGTTAATGAAGCTGCAGATTTCAGCATGTACTGCTCGATAACAAGGCAGGTGAAGAGAAAAACATATCTTTTTGAATACATTCCGTTGTTCTTCGTTGCGAAGGGTCCAATGAAGTCAGCTGCTCTTCCGATGCAGTGGTAGTTGTTGTCCCATACTGGTAAGCTGACAAGAGTCAAGTCGGTCATAAGAGGCGTAATTGGTTCTTGACGTAGTCGAGAGCATGATAAGCACTGTTGGTTAATTGTTTTCAGAAGTTGAAATGAGTAGAGACTTGAGTGAAGTCTGTTGTAAAATTCTGCTGCTGTGTTCTATTCCACAATGTCCATTCCTTTCGCCAAGGGTTTGGGAACTTTGGTTTGAAAATCAAACCATATTCAATTTCACCAATTTTCAATGAAATGTCTCAAAACTAAATGCTCAGGACTTCTATTAATTTGACATTCAAGGTTTGATAATTTAGAATTTTGATTTGAAAACCAAAACCCTAACTAGGTTCATCGAACTGCCAGGGAATGTCATAAAACTAAAAAACCAGGATTTTTAAACAATTTTCAACCAAAAACTGAAACTTGCATTTCACGTATATTAATGATGTATACTTTTTTCACTATTATTCTGAAATGAAGCACGGTTTCGCCCTGAAATTATATTTTTCGGTAACAATTTCACACTAGCTAATTTTGTCTATGGACTGAGACAATTCCTTATACAACCAAATATGACTGAACACTTTCATATATAGAAGCGCAACTTCCAAAATGTTGTCTGAAATTATTTTCTTTGTGGAAAACACGTACAGACACACAATCAACGATGATTAATGAAAATTCATAAACGAATATGAAGCAGCAACTGCGCCGACAATGCTTGCGTCAATTCCCGTAGAACCGAAAACAAAATTGTTGTCATGAAAAACTTTAAACTATAAACTGTATTGAACTATAAAATAAAGTTAATAAGCCAAAAAAAAACTGACCCGGCAAAACTTAAGCAGACAAATAATAGGCTGACATTTTTTAACGAAAAATACCATTTGTGAAACAGCTTGAACAGATTGAAACCCGGGATCTTTATCGTCCCAGGAGAATTCGTTAAAAGGCTAAGTGTGCCGGAGATGCTGAGAATTTTTAATTCATTATGAACCAAGGTAACACCAGGAGATGAGTTCAGATGATTCCTGTGAACAAAGTTGTTTACGGGTAAGAAAAAGTCTAGTACCCGGTTGCAATACCCTTGCTATTCGCAAGGGTAAATATTTGAATACCTATTCAACTTACGAAGTTGGTAGCAAAAAATACATAACAAAAACATCCCTGAAATTCACTAATCTTTTATGATAGACACATGTTTTTCATGACACCAGCCAAATTCGAGATAACTGGTCACTAGATATGTTTAATCTGCTAGTTATTCTGAAAATTTGAATACAAATTTGAGTGCAAACAACATTGAGCGAGTGAGCGCTACTTCTAGGCCAAGTAGGAACTAACATGAGAGTTGTTAAGGTTCAATAATAAATCAGTTGAAAATTTGTAGGAAAAGCTGTTTACGAGAAAAAAGTCTAGTTTCTGATTACAAGACATTTACTAGCACTAATGTATTAAGATGGTAAAAAGATTAAAACAAGACATTTTATTCTCGAATTCTAATACATATAAACTGATAAAGGAAAATAAACTGGCAATTGAATTGAAATGAATAACGAAATTTAAGAGACTTCAATTTTACTAACTCTCACAAAATAAAACTTACTAATTCTTTCAAAAAATTATCAGCCATCTAAATTGAGAGCACCTTCAAATTGAAGCTAGCTGTAAAAAATACAACATCGCATACGGCAACAAAATGCTTCAAATTACTAACACTGCAAAAGCAGTTTTACACAATTCAACAAGTAAGGACTGATAAGCATTCAAACCGTCTGTTTATACTGCAATTTTCGCTAATTTTCATTGAATATTCTCGGATCTTTCATCTATTAGAAAAAAATTTCAATGGAACATGCTAAAATATAAAGATTTTAATTCAATAACTTAAAATCAAGTGACAAAATGTCACCTATAACCAACTACGGAACGAATAAATGCTTTTCAATTATCACTGAAGAAAACTACAGGCTTGGCAACCACCCATGTTCATGACTGTGACTTGAGCCGATGTCGAAATCTGCAGCTCTGGCCGAATACTGGTACATTGTGTTTTGGAAAAGAGCGGCTCTATTCTGGTTTTCTCCCTTTTTCACCCAGTGGCCGTAAATGTTAAAAGCACAAGCGTCGATCTGTCTTCTAACTGATTTGACACTGTATGGCGACGTACACATTAGACCAGGAGTAGCTGGCTTCAGAGCAACTTGTCGTTTTAATCTTATAAGCCCAAGAACGAAAAGAAAAGAGGCTCTCAATTTTTTTCTAGGGTTGAAAGGATTTTTCTGCTCCTCTTCTCTCACCTGAAAATCAAAAAAATCTATTATTTAGAAGCTGTATTTAATAGGTTGCGACTCTCACGATAAGAACAGACCAATGACACTAAAATTTCGAACCAATTGACGTTTTTTTAACTGCACAAACTGCTCAATTTTCACTCTTATTTTTTTTTTTGAATTTTTGATTACTGAACTATGATTGGCCAGCATAATTTTGGGTCATTAGATCCTTCTTATTTATGCCCTTAATGATAGATTAACAATAACTTAGATAATAGCTTCAGCAAGTATTGGAAAGGTAGCCTAGAAGCATGTCTATCGATTAGTTGGCCGGATATAGTATATTTTGAAATTTTACACTGAGTTCAAAAACTCTTCGACAAATGGCGTGCAAGTAGCCAAAGACAAAATAAGTCCATTTGAAATTGTTTAATTATTCAGATGCTCAATTGAGTTTAATCGAAAAACTAAGCTTAAACACGCCATCAAGCTGAATAAATATTTAAAGCAAGTATTGCATGGTAATCGACACACATGCTAAAAGCTACATCCTTGAAACATTTGTTACATGACACTATCCACTTAACGACTTTGCCATACTTAAAGTAACATAGCCGAAGCTACATTTGATGTTTACATGGATTAGACTAAATAGTTCAGTTTTTAAATGAACTATAGTTGGTATTCAAATAACTACCTTTTTGGAGCAAAATTGGAAGAATTCACAGTTGTTATTTATTGCTAAATAACTGAAATAACATTATTACAACTATCGAAAACCAAAAAATTTTTGGGCAGCACCAAAATTAAACAGACAAATTACAAACAACAAGACAAATTACAAACACAATGCAGAAATTTAAAAACAAAAACAATTTTTATGGTACAAAAGTATCATCGCAAAAACTGGACTCAAAAATACAAGGGATGTCATATTAAAGCGTATTTACTTTAGGTGATTTTTGACTTAAAATAAAATAAATGATATTGTTTTAAAGAACCAACTAAGATAAGACATTGAGTTTGAGACAAGACAGAGAAAGCAGCACATTAAACTTTAGATTTCAATTAGTTTTTTTTTCCTAAAAATTTTAAAGGTGTCGGAACATTCCAACTACGGAAACTCATTCTCTCGGACCATTCTTTAAATAGCCACAGGATTCAATTGAGGGCATTTCTTCAGCATCATCTGACATTATTTCGAAATCTCCGACACTATTACTGTTAATTTCAATAGCAATGCTGGTGTTGATTTCATGGTTGCTGTTTTCATGGTTAGTGTTATGTTCAATGGTGGTAGTGATGTTGTTGTTGTTGATTGTGTTGTTGTTGTTTACCTCCTGTGAATTGAAAGTGAGGAAGTATTCGTGTCTGAGTGCCTGTTCTGCAGTGTACCTCTCACAGGGGTCCATTTCCATCAGGTGCAGCAGAAGATCCTTCGCTGCCGGCGACACATCTTCAAACTCCGGTCTGTCAATTGTGAATCTAAAAACAAAACAACCATATTGCTCTAAGTAATTTTCACTTTGCATCATCTTATCTCGTCTAAATCATCAATACTAGACAGCCCTTTTGAATCTCGCTCTTGATCTTTTAGACTAGCTTGGTACAAGAGTTTATGTAATATACCAGTTTGGTGTTTAGACAAATGGTCAGAAAAAAATGACTCTTCGAAGTTAGAATAAGCTAAGGTTAGAAAAGAAAATGTTGCAAATTTAGAGCTATGTTGATAGCATTTCAATTTAAAAAAATCAATTTTTCAGTTTCTAATGCTAAGAAATTACAAACTATTTGCGAGGTTGAGACGAGACAAGAGGATTGGAACTTGGTAAAGATAATAACACAGCTCGTTCAAAAAACAACAGCAAATAATTAAATATTGGCAAACTCGAATAAATTTCTACAAAAAGAATAGAGTCTTTTCAAAAATGAACTCCAAGTGAAGATTTTATGTATATGTATGTGAAATTGTCAAAAGAGGCTATGACAATGCTCCATTTCTAGAAGTTAAAAGATGACGTACTGCAATTCAAGCCCGTATTGACTCAACTTTGGACCAGTGTCATTGGACTATGAACTGTTTGAACCAAATAACACCACCACTTTGGAAACAGAACAGATCAAAGCTAATTTTCATCATCATAATTGGAAGTCTCAAGGAACTCAGGATACGGAGAAAAAATATGTTTTCTCTATAATGCTGCAAATACATGTGCCTTTAAAGCTCTTTAAAATTCAAGAACATTATAAGTGGTGCTTTTGTGATGAAATTAACCCAATTTGAGAAAAATGGATCAATGGGTAAATTTTCAATTCCGCTGGGATATCTGAACACTAACCATTTTCGAAACTAGAAATCGAGACAAACAAAAAAAATGACCAAGACCTATAAAAGAGTTTTCATTACGTTTATTACTCTCAATCTGTATAAAAATTAAACTGACAAACCATTGCCAAAAAAAAACAAATAAACACAAAACGACAAAGGCTTCAGTCAAATATTAAAGAAAATTTCATACAATTATTGAAGTTTGGGTACACCTCAAACTTTCAAAATCTCAATCCTAAATGCATCAAAAGGAATTGTAACACCACAAAAAATTAAGTGCCTCATTTATCATTCCAATTAACCGAAAAAAAATATTTTTTCATTTTTTAAAAAATTAAAACAAGCCTAAAAAACATTAAAAACAAAGATAGCCGGTTACCGTGCAAATTTACAAACTGTCCGACCAAAGTCTTAAAATGCAAAATTAGTTTTTCAAAATAGTGTCGTTTTTTCTTTGTAGTGTGATAATAGATTTGAACGAAAAAAAAGAAAAGGCACATACTGGATAGTCGTAGTCAAATAGGCTGATTGTAAAAAACGAAAAAAAAATCCTTTAAAAGAATTTTTTATTTTTTGCAAATTTTTTGAATTTTCACAATCTAACTTTATTCGAGTAAAAAAACTTTCAGGGCTTAAATTATGCTTAAAAAGCTATTGTAAGCCTGCACGCTCACCTTATTAGCTCGAAAATAGACCAAAAACCAATAAAATTCAAACCGTTTTTTTTTTCGACAAAAAATTTTTCAGTTTTTTAATGTTCAAATCACGACTGAAAGGGTTTCAATATGATATATAACTCGACCCATTTCGATGATTATTTGTGGTACCTGATTTTGCGAGGAAAACAAAGAAAAAAACTAAACACACCCGAATACAGAGTTCTTTCCCATTTTTCATATGGTCGGAACAATGACGAGCTTTTTTGCGGCGACTCAGTGACACTTACGAACAATTGAAAATGGAATCTTCAACTCACTTTCCTTCCATGATCATGCGGAGCATGAGGACTTGTTTCCGGTGCCAAAAGGGAGGTTGACCACACAGAAGAGAGTACATGACTACTCCTGCGGCCCACAAGTCTACTGGTCTACCATAGCCAGGCACCACACCCACCTAGAACAATAAATGACAATTAAAAATAACTATAAAAAATCTTTATCTTTTAATGGCACAACCAGTTATGGTACACGACTGCATTAAAACTCGAACTGCACATATAACGTGTTCAAAACAGTCATATTGATCTTTGAAATTAATTCTCTGTATCTGTGAACTTTTGGCAATTTACTATATAAAAATCCCAGTTCTTTTCACTTAAACGGACCAAAAACGCAAAACTTGAAGATGTTAAAAATGAAGTTGAGAATTATCGCACCTGATTGATTGAAACGAAATAAATCGCCAATAGTTGGGGGATCTTGATGCGTTTAATTAACAAATTTTTTTTGGGCCCGTATAAGTAAAAAGAGTAAAGAAGTAATAACTAAAGGAACTAGCCCGCATGGCACACTTGAGCATCTCGGGGGCCATGTAGCCCGGGGTTCCCATCAATTCCTGGTACTGCTCATCGTGTTCGATGTAGGTGGCAAACCCGAAGTCACTAATCTTAATGTTCAGATCCTCATCTAGAACAGAACCAAAAATTGATAAAGCATCGAAACACTTTCTATGAACCTGCTTTAAAGCAATTTCATGACCAAAAACAAATAAGGAAAAATTGAAAAGTGGTCTTAGAAAGGAAACTATCAAAAATGGGCATAATTCAACTACCATTTTTTCGTCAATTCAGACCCATATGCAAATAAGTTGTACCAAAATCATAATAGATCACTTTCCAAAAAACTGAATTACTTTCAGTGAACAATAAATTAGTTTACTAAGTAATATGTAAGACAAAAAACTGGGGATATCTTCAAAAGTCTAATCTTTCTGTCACGCCTCAAACGCAAAGTTTGTCCGATTATATATCATCTAAATTTGTGAAACATTTAGAAATATTTAGGAACATTGTTTCGCTCAATATCCAGCAGGATTTGCAAAATTGTTCCAATATAAAACTAAAAACCAATTTTGAGACAAAAAACCTCGCCAAGACCAAAAATAAAAAGGTGCCGTTTTTCAGCTAATTCAGAGGAGCTACTTAAAAAAATGATTTAAAAGCAATCAATGTTAATTTTTAACCGCATGATAACTCGAGACTCACGATTTTCAGGACTCTGAAACTGACTTCTAATCGGAAAGATACAGTAAATTTTTAAACTCTTGGAGAATTTGTCAAAAATTAAAACAATGAGAAATTTAGGGATGTGAAAATGTTGCTTTCTCTTGCGCAATTCCATCTCACAGTACAACTAGTTTGCAAAATAATTTCCAAGGTAAATGAATTTTTGGTCTTTAAATTCGATGTTTACTGTTGGTCAATTTGAAGACGCTTTATCGGCTTGGTTGGCAAACAATTTTCTTTTGAGTTTGCCGAAACTATACGGGAGCTAAAATTAACTTTCAAAAGAGCAGTAAATCGAAATCAATATTTAATTAGCGAGAACCTGAGAAAGGTTAGGGTTCCTGGACGGTGAACTAGATGAATTATCTTTACTTTACAGGTGGAGTTTCAAAGTTTTATAGACCGAGCCCAATATATTAACTGATATGCTCTAGAGTTGAATCGCGTTCGAATGAATAATAAATCTGAAGATAAAATAGAACGAAGCTCAGCAGCGTTTAAAAATAAATAAGTCATATGTTGGTAGTACAACAACACACACCTCCGAGTCAACCAATAAAGAGAGACCGGTATGGCCGTGCATATATGAATAAATTAACTCATAATAGCACTCGTAGTATTGGCTGTAGTAATAATGGTAGTAAAAAAAATTCAAGGGACTTATAAAGGGTCAAAGCATATACCGCATGACTTAGTTTAAGCAACTGTTTCGTTAAGCAGATAGTTCCGAAGGCAGACTCTTTCCGAGTGCAGAATTTCTTCAAAAAAAAAAACGAAAACTAAAAAAAAATAAATTGATAGCGAAACTACAAATTTGTATACTTTACAAATTCTTTTTTTTAGTCCGCTCACCTGAAATTTCTTTTCTAAAAATGTGACACTGAACAAAGTCGGAACGCTCAGGGCTAAATGAACAGTAACTACCTTACCTACATTACATCTTAAAACTAGTTTCTTTCCTGGTAAATTTATGGAAGTGAATAAAAATTATGACATTTACATGAAAAAAAATAGAAATTGATCGGAAGATTAAATCTACCAAGTTGATAAAAACTAAAAAAAAAACTGACAAAGTAAACTGAAAAAAGTGTTACTTGACTAAAAATATATATTTTCCATTTTTCTGCTTTTCGCGTTTTCTCCTGAATCCCGTTCAAATGGCGTCACATTGACTTCTAATGGTAATAAAAGTGTCACGTTATACTTCACAGGACTACACAAAGAGTTATTTTACAACAGGATAAATATAGAGACTGAATAGAATTACAGAGTTAGACAAGTTCACTATGCTATTGGTACAGCTGCCACCGTCGTCTTCTTAGATTGAAGGGCGAACTCAAATGACTCTATATTTGTATGGTTTGGCCACTGCACAATCGAATAGAGTACACAGGTTTATAGCTTTGTTAGTCAGTTGTCCTTGAGTTGCAATCATACCTCTGAACTCATTAGAGGTTGGGTTAGAGTGGGTGTGGGTTAAATAGGTTCACCTCTTTTCCATCATACAAATTATTGCGTTAATTTCGAATGAACCAAGATCACCCGATCAAGGAAATTAAGCACCCAAATATAACGAACAACAATTAATTTTTGAGTGTTTTCTGTTAAACAGCCCAAAGACGAACCAAAATCTTGACAAGAACAACAATTAATTTTCGAGTGTTTTCTTTTAAACAGTCCCAAGTTGATCCTTATAATATTTCATAACAAAACTCAAACGCTCGAATCTGATTTGATTGAATCTAATCAGAACCAAAAACATAATAAAAATATTTAACTATCAATCGCGTTTTTCTGTTTTTCGTTCATATGAAAGAAAAGATTGTGATTTTCTGAAACATTTTATATATGGCCTTCCAACATATTTACGGTTGACCGGGTGACAAAAGATATTAAAGTTTTGGTGAATGACAAAGAGACGGGTCTGATCCAGTCAACCAACTTAATAGTCAATTATGAGAGACAATTAGGCAAACGCTGAATGCCACTTTCCGACATTCAAATTTCAAAAAACAAATAAAGAGAAGGGTGGAGGATCTCAATTTGATCGTGAAGCGACAATTCGTCGCATTTAAAAAAACAATTGTCGCAGATGAATTTTCGGTATTAATTATTTAATTAATTCGAAAATTGATTTAGCACTGCATACCAAGCAAAGAACTATGCCTTAGCGGGTGTGGGACTAGATATGAAATGCTTCGCAAAATGTTTTAAATTGTGACAACTTGTCGCCGTGGCCGACTTAATTAAGAGGGGGATGTTAACTTGATGCAAAAACTGACCTAGTAGAATATTTTCGGACTTGATGTCTCTGTGTAGTATGTTGTTTTTATGGAGGTGTTCGATGACTTGCAGCAGTTTGAACATAATGTCTCTCGTCTTCTTGGAGGAGAAGGTGACCACTTTGGTCAGGTGGTCGAACAACTCCCCCTTCGGACAGTACTCTAGCACTAGGAAGATGAACGAGGGGGTGATGTAGTGGTCTTCTAGTCTGATTATATTCGGGTGGCCTCTCAAACTCTGAAAACACAAATTGCATTTTTCATTTTTCTTCAGATACCGCTTTCATTCTCGTATATAAGATACTGCAATTTCAGGTTACACCTTTGGATCTTGATTCTAATCTGTTCTAAAATTTGATACCAATTCTAAGCATAAAAAAATGACTGATACGCGGGAAAATCAAGGGTAGAAAATTAAGGGCAGATCACGCACTTGCATGAAAACGCATTTAAATCATTAAGAACATACCAGAATTTTATTCTACTATCTTTGAACAAGTTGTTTTAGTTGAATAAAGTTTTTTATCATGTTATGGTCATTCTTAACAATTTTCTTTTATAAACCTTTTGTTTTTGTTTACCCTGACCTGAACCAACATATGAGTTTAGTACATAACCAGTGATATTACATTATTATTAAGTTGAATAGTTCTCAAAATTGACACCTCGCCCATTGTAATATTGCTGCAACTTACCTCTAATATAGTAATTTCTTTTTTCGTTTCAGATGACAATGTTGCCGAATCACCAGCCGACAAGTCTATAATCTTCACCGCGAACACCTCCCCCGTCGACTTCTTGATACACTTCCTCACTATACTCGACACTCCCCTACCCAACACCTCCATCGCTTCATACCTCTCGTAGAACTCAGACGTCTCCTCCTGGTTCTGCAGTTCCGTATTCTGGTATGACGTCATCACCATATTTGCTATATTTTCCAGACTATCGTGAAACCAACTGCAAAAATTTCCCGACTATAAATCGTGATAAAACACCAAATCAACTAGTTCGGTTTTTCTGCCGGGATCCCTTCAATATTGAGCCAACTATTTGAGGTGTGAGGATTTTCTCGCAAACAGAACTTGTCAACTAAGGAGTTAGAGAGTAACTAAGGATACCAGCTAAAACTTATTGTACAGAGTTTTGTTGTCTAATTTTAGGTTCGAACTGTTGAGTCTTTGAGAACATCTTCACAACGAAGACAAAGGAGAGTTTTTTCAAAAGCAGAAAATTTTTGAGGAAACTTAAAATTTAGAAATTAAGGCCAAAACGATTCTTTCTCAGGTTGAAAATAACTATTTTTGAAATAGTTCTAAAGAAGATTAATTTGAGAGGCCTGTCTTGGGATACAGCTAAGGATGTTAGTCCTAAGAAGTAGCTTTGCTATAGTGAGACAGTTGGAGTATGGATGACACTTTTCAATGAAATAAAGTCTTCGTTCGGGTCACTTTGTATGGCTGAATCTATTTTTTTTGTCAGTTTTACTCTGAAAACAGCAAAATAGTTGTATCAAATCGTTTTGTTCAAATCTGGAAAGATCGCTAAATCCTGAAACGAAATGACGTCAGATATCTGTAACACTGATTATTAATTTTCTTTGAAACTAAAGAAAGTGCTCAATTGGATCGTGTTATTAACAACCCAGTATGTTGACCAAAAACCATGAGAAAAGCGTCCTAAATTGATCGGATTAGCTTTCGTAATGACGCTATTTGGTATCATTTGACGCTTTTTGGTATAATTTAACGCTTTTTGCAACCAGTTGACTCATACCGGAACCATGTAACTAGTTAGGCTTTTAAAGACATAATAAAGCCATCCTTAACCACCTTACTTTTAGTATTTTTTCCACCGATTTACTGTGATTCGACGCAGTATCACATGATAACACGTATACTTCCGCGTAGCAAAAACTGATTGGAGCTTTTTTGCCGTTGCAATCCGATCCCTACTGGGTCGGATCACTGTTTGACCAAGACAAAAAATAATAATTCAACGCAAGCAAAAGTTTTTTATAAAAGGAGATGAGACGGATACATTTCTTCAGATCTGAGGCTAGTGTCAATAATGACATTTTTCGAGAAACCCTGGGACAAACTGAGGCCTGATCAAAACAAAAGCAACAGACAGTAGGAAAAAAAGGCAATTAATGAAAGTAAACAGAAAACAAAACTGACTTGTTTTTTGAAAAATTTCAACTTCCGAATTTCAAACAAAAAATATATGACCTTGAAGCTGCTTGAATTTGTAGAGCTGACTTATTAATGGCACTTTATTGATAAAAGTAAACCAATTTATGGAAAATTGATCAATGTGGAACAGTTTTAATAAAGTAAATTTGAGCCTGAACAAATTAATGTTAAGACACTTTCTGAGCAAAAAAAAACGGAAAAAAAACACGATCTATATAAGAGTCTGAACAACGTCAAACTAAAAACTAAAACACCCAAAGACGAAATTCCTCCCCTTTTTCAGTTGTCAGAACAACAAATAGCCACAATGCCTTTGGTTAAATTTTATCTTAGCCCTTTCGACCTTTCCCATTTTATCTTGGCAACAGCTCAATCGCAAAAATGAATGGCAGACGCATATTTTGGGATAAGTCAAATTCAAGAACACATACTTGTGGGTAATGTATGAACTTTTCCAGACGATCGAAACATCAGTTTTTTCTCTTAAAGTTATTATAGAGTCAATGATGCTCACAATTCTCTGAACCCAATAAAAACAACGACAATTTGAATCTCCAATGATAAGAACTCTAAGCAGTGAGTCTGACTAGCAAAAATATTTTGAACTAACTTTTCGTAATCTATATTTGATATAGCTCGAGCCTGGTAAAAACCTACGAGCTTGCTTTGAAGCGCAGAAAACATGAAAAAAAATTTTTAAAAACAAGTGAAAAACATGTCAAGCATAGTTCACACAGAGGCGAAGCGGAGCGTCGCACCACTTGCGATACAACACAATGATGAAAGCATAAGTCTAAAAAAATAGGTGAAACAAAATTTTCCTATAGATCGATGAAGGAAACCTAAGGGCCCAGTTAAAGCTGGGGGTACGTCTTTGACATTTTTCAAAAGACTTGGAATTTGAGATTTCGCAAAGACAAAACCTTTCTCTTACAAAGGATTTACCGCTTTTGCAGGAAAAAATCGCGCAACTGCTTCATTTGGTTAAATTTCTTCTTAGTGTAATTTTTAATAAAGTATCTAAAATACGGTCAAATTTCAAAACGTGACTTTCCGAAACCCGTAATTTTTTAGCAGAAGCAGGTCTTGGCCGGTAGTAGAGATCATTCCTAAAATCGAATGCGCAATTGAACACATTGAACACTTAAACTGAGAATTGGTACGGTAAGTTTCAAAAAGTAGTCAAAAACTTCCAAAAAGCGGTCAAAGTTCCAAAGCATTCACTAGTTGGAGACAATATTTTTTTCTAAAAAACTTGGCGTAGTACATTATATACATGAACTTTCAACAAGTTATTGTGTCGATTAAACCTATGATATCAGATTTGGCAGGACAGTTATCGAGAAAAGTCCAGAAAACGGTCAACAAATCAGAAAGTTGACATTTCCGAGAACCAAAATTGGATTTTAAAAAAAACCGCGAGGTCACTTATGCAAAAGAGATTCACACAACCTAAAATTTCGATGGAATCAACCCAGGTTTGGCAGAGTAGCTTTCCAGAAAAATGAAAAAATCAAAAAACGGTTAAAAATTGCGCAATTGCGTATTCAAAGGCGCTTGCTGCAACCATTTCTTCGGAATGAACCCAGACCTCAGATATGAGAGTGTATGTTCCGGTAAAATTGACAAACTTTTTAAAAAACGCTCAAAAAATTGACTTTTCCGAGGAAGATAATTTTTTTTGAGAAAAAAAAATTGGGAGTGGACGCTAATGCAGGTGAGGTTCGCCCTACCCGTTATCTCAATTGAACAAACGACCTCAGATTTCGAAGGCTGTAGACTAAGGTGTAAAGCACCGAGAGACCAGCGGAGTAAACTGGCACACGATAATGTAGGCGACAAATTTTTTTGAACATCGATAGAAAAAATTTGAGAAAAAAAAATTTTTATGCATAAAAACTTATGAAACTTTTCAAAGCGTCTCAATAAAATTAGAAAACCCTAATCCCATAGACTTTCAAAACACCTGTTTTTATCAAAGAGAAATTCTAGGCAAACAAGCCTAGCCAAACATTTCCAACTCAAATTAGTAACTGAACAAAAGTTACGAAGCGTAAACAAGGCGAACAATCTTTTCGCATACTGTAGCAAAAAAGAATGTAACAAGGCTCCCGAAATTTTCTAAAATGTATATATACACAACAGAATTCGGTCTGCGTGGGCAATGCATTTTAAAGGCGAGCTTGCCCAAGACAATCAAGCAGAACAAAAAATAGCTGTAAATTTACCACATTTACAGAAAAAACACGAAAAAATGAACATTATGATTGCTCAATTAGAAAAAAAAATTTTCAAAGCGTCTCAGTAAAATTTAAAAAAAAACAATCCCATAGACTTTCATAATACCTGTTTTTATCAAACAGAAATTTTAGGCAAACAAGCCTAACCAGACATTTCAAATTCAAATTAGTAAATCAACAAAACTTACGAAGCTGAACCAAGGCCGACAATCTTTCAGCAGACTGTAACAAAAAAAGAATGTAATGTTGATATTTCCGAGCACCAAAATTGGATTTTAAAAAATGGCGTAGTCACTTATGCAGAAGAGATTCACACAACTTAAAATTTCGATGGAATCAACCCAGATTTGGCAGGGTAGTTTTCCAGAAAAATGAAAAAAATCAAAAAACGGTTGAAAAATCAAAGTTTTGACTTTTCCGAGGTCCATAATTTTAGGTCAAAAAATTTCAGCGCAAATGCGTATTCAAAGGCGCTTGCTAAAACCATTTCTTCGGATTGAACCCAGATTTCAGATATGAGAGGGTATGTTCCGGTAAAAATGACAAACTTTTTAAAAAAATGCTCAAAAAATTGACTTTTCCGAGGAAGATAATTTTTTTCGAAAAAAAAATTTGGGAGTGGTCGCTAATGCAGGAGAGCTTCGCCCTACCCGTTATCTCAATTGAACAAACGACCTCAGATTTCGACGGCTGTAGACTAAGTTGTAAAGCACAGAGAGACCAGCGGAATAAATTGGCACACAATAATGTAGGCGACAACCTTTTTTGAACATCGATAGAAAAAAAATTGAGAAAAACTTTTTTTTGCTCAAATTTTTTTCTATCGATGTTCAAAAAAAGTTGTCGCCTACAATATTGTGTGCCAGTTTACTCCGCTGGTCTCTCTGTGCTTTACACCTTAGTCTACAGCCTTCGAAATCTGAGGTCGTTTGTTCAATTGAGATAATGGGTAGGGCGAAGCTCTCCTGCATTAGCGACCACTCCCAAATTTTTTTTTCAAAAAAAATTATCTTCCTCGGAAAAGTCAATTTTTTGAGCATTTTTTAAAAAAAGTTTGTCATTTTTACCGGAACATACCCTCTCATATCTGAAAAGTCATGAAACTTTTCAGAGCGTCTCAATAAAATTAGAAAAAACTAATCCCATAGACTTTCATAACACCTGTTTTTATCAAACAGAAATTTTAGGCAAACAAGCCTAACCAGACATTTCAAACTCAAATTAGTAACTGAAAAAAACTTACGAAGCGGAAACAAGGCCGACAATCTTTTAGCAGACTGTAGCAAAAAAAAGAATATAACAAGGCTCCCGAAATTCTCTAAAATGTATATAATTCGGTCTGCGTGGGCAATGCATTTCAAAGGCGAGCTTGCCCAAGACAATCAACCAGAACAAAAAATAGCTGCAAACTTACAAATTTACAAAAACACCAAAAAAGAACATTCTGATTGTTCATTTAAAATTACAAACTCGTACTCTGGGAAATTTTGAACTATCTAGGAAGACCGATTCATATAATCTTCAACTCCAAATTTCTTCAATACCAAACTCAAACTACCGAAAAAAAAATCTAGCTGGCCGCAAAAAAAAACAAGATGCTCTGTTCCACGTCCCGTATATCCTAACAGTCACTGAGTAAAACTATCTATAATAGAATCGAGACTGCCTTTCGAAAACACAAGCAAGTAAACGGCAAAGGGAATATTACTAATAGAGATCTAACCGGAATTGATTTTGGTGGACTTCCAGAAACTAATTTCGAGATTCATTTAAAAAGCTGATGAGTAACTGCACAATGCATATCGGAAAATTGGTTTAGCTATATGCTAACATTCCACTTCTGGATCAAAAGTCGAGTGTTTGAAAGTTATTAGTCTTTTGGTCTGAGTTAGTAGATAGCTTAAAGAATTCCGCCAGAATTTTCCAGTATTTTTTACTGGACTCCGGAATTAACTAAGACTTGGCGGAGTTCCAGATTCCAGTACAATTCTAAACACTATCTGGAAAAAAATCTTTCACAAAAAAGAAGCTGCATTTTTCGATCAGAGGATAGTTCTCGAGTTAAGTCAAAAACTTCAAAAAACGGTAAAAAATCAAATTTCTGACTTTCCGATTGCCAAAAATTTCAGGTCAAAATAATTTAGGTGCAC